CAAGAGAATCCTGGAAACCCAACTTTTCTTCGCATATGTTTTGTTAATTGTCTATTGTGTGTATGTAATGTTCATGTCATGGGAACTTTGATAGTCCTAGCTAGACTTGAGGCTAATCCAGCATCTTCTTCTTTTATTGTGGCTCTTCCTGCTTCTTCCATATATCAACTTCGATGCATGTAAGTGTGTATGTATGTATGTATGTATTTATGTATGTATGTTTTTGATTTTTTGAGAAAATTCATATACCCCTGCCGTCGTCTTCTGGTGGAACGGACCATCGAATCTCTTCGATCAAAATACTTTCACTCGAATTGGAAGTAAGTTCAACAATTCTGAAACAAGAGAATCCGAGAAACCCAACTTTTCTTCGCATATATTTTGTTAATTGTCAATTGTGTGTATGTAATGTTCATGTGATGGGAAGTTTGATAGTCCTAGCTAGACTTAAGGCTGATCCAGCCTCTTTTTCATTTTTTGTCGCTCTTCCTGCTCACCAACTCGTTCTCTCTCTGTCTTTCTTTCCTTAATCATATCCAACATCCACAAATAGTTCCCAATCTATTTAGTACGTTGGCTGTTTTGTTAATTTCTGTAGACTCACTAATCTTAAGCTATGATCTCAAGTCCCCGTAACCCGTAAAACATTGTCTTTTCGACCAGTCCATTGAGTATCACATATTAGCCATGCGTTCAGCGAGCTCAACTTTTCGACCCATACACATTTACAAGCGGTTTTTGAGCTTATAGACTCGTCTCCACTTCATAGACCATATCACATGAGCCTGGCATTATCCTCTTTTTAGGATCGGGTCAACTCTGATGATGTCCATCACAAAATGGACGAAAGCTCAGTCTCTTTTTTCACCCGTAGCGACGCGGGGATGTCTCGTGAGCTGCGTCAACCTGAACGTCGTATCAAAGCCAAACGGCTGAAGTACAACAAGCTTCGCTCGTCGTCTTCTGGTGACATCAACCTACCAATCTCTTCTTCATGCACTTTCCTATCAAATGCAGGAGATTCATCAAATCTACACAACAAGCTTTCTCACCAGATTTCTCCTATCGCACACTCACTACTCATTATCCCCATTCACGCCGATTTTCCACAATCATCTTCTAACCAGCCCAGACTCCACATCTTCGTCAGAGCTGAGTTGTATTTTAAAGCACTACTTATAAGTCTACTTTAAACTACTCTTATATTAATGGATTTTATATGGGATCTCTTCTGGAACTATTGTTATCTATCCATACAGCATAATCTTGTATCAACGGGCCTCCAGCGGAAACTGCATAGGTTCATACCTTCTGCCAGCAAACCGCCTCGGTTGCCATGGTCCCACCGCTCTTGCGCCCTCAACTGGCTTCTGCATATACAAAAACGTCTGTCTTACTATTATCTACCTTTTGGATTATTGTAGTGTGTTCATCACATTATCCCATTTCCTATTTCGTCATTCGGTTTCAGGATAACTGCGATTAGTCATAAAGCATGCGAACATCGGTCCTATTTGTCGTTTCAGAGTAAAAAGGTATGTGTACATTCTCAAGACTTTATTTTATATTTCAATATGGATCAAATTAAGGACAACGGACAAATGTTTATCCAACTAGTTGGCCCGAATCAGTGATTTTATATCTCGGTTATTTTTTTGTCATGCCAACCCAAGAGCAAGTGTGTGTGTGTGTGTGTGCGAGTGTATGTGTATGGTTACGAGTACGATAATGGGCATCATAATTCTGAGTAATTACTAAAGAGCGTTAATTCATTCGAAGGACGCAAGGTTTAATGACCCAGGGAAAGACATGAACAGAAATTGGGTATCAGAAATTTTTTTCTGGTTCAGATGACAAGCCTGATATCCCCTAAGCGACCTTTTTTAATGGTACACTTATGTTTGGTAGTAGAATAGACAATGTCATTTATTCAAAGGTATGAAGACCAAGATGGTGTGCCCTTTTATGTGGTCGCAGTCTCATTTCGTTGTAGAGAAATTGTTTGACCTTCTTTCTGCAACTTGGTAATATTGGTAGGAAGAATTAAAGGAACGCAACTTGTCCGGAGTCCATGATCATTTTCAAAGTTGGACCGTGCACATGGTACATTCCCAAACGTTTCGCCGGCATCGTCAGTGAGTATCGTCACTCTTAGCAACACACAACAACTCGTCAAAACCAACAATAAAGCTAAAGGAGACCTCGACCAAACATAAGGAGAATGAGATGTATTCACACAATTTCGTATTACTCATTCGCTGATAGTCACGAAAACAATACTTAATTTGAAAAATAAAAATAAGAATATTAATAGTATTGGAAAAAACATATAGCATCCTTTTTAGAAGAAAGAGACCGATATCCCAAGAGGACTACAGCTAATTCCCTTTTTTCTGTACCGGACAAGGTGCGTTCCTCTAGGTCTTCCTACCAATATGACCATGTTATTTATTTTTTGTATGATTTGGATTCAAAGCTATCATCAGTACTCCTTGCACTACAATTTAGTCCTCTCAGCTTGCTTCAGATAATTTATAGAACATTGTGGAATTTTTACAACTTTGGTTGCGTAGGAGAATAACGACGTATCGTCACAATTCGCACGACTTTAGTTCGAATCTTGATGGAGGAGTCCAACATGGATACTAATACTTTTTAAGGAGTATGATTTGGTGAAATTCATTGGCATCGTTAACCCTACCCATGTCATTATGGGAAAATATCACATTTCCATCATTTAATAATCTCAAACCGCCCTGGGTGGCTTATTCGAAATATAATCACTCCGTAAAAAGGATTATTTCATTTAGGACGAACTCTAACAGCAGTCCCTTACACCAAGCCAACTAGATCAGGCAATTTCTTATTTTAAAAAAGTACTGATGGTTTCAAAGCATAACAAAACAAAAAAACACCACTAAAAATGTTTTTCTTTGGCCCATTCTGTCAATAAAGTTGTTTTACCAAACTGATTCGATTAAACACAACAAATTTGAGCACGAAATATCTCCATTTAGAGTCAATTTTGACTTAGCATGTATGATTTTAATGCATAATTCTAATGCTTTAGACATTAGAGGAGGGTTGGAGCAAAGTAAATTGGTGAAAAATAAGGAAAGTGTGAGATAGGTGGATAGACAAATGCTAAGTTCAGTGGGCAGGCAGATATTCACATGGTTTTGCTTGATGATGG